CAAAAGACGCAGGAAATGTGACTGGTGTCCATACACTGGACGCCAATATCATCCCAGTCTTCTCCTGCAGGATCTGTTTGACATTGACATACCGGTATGCAGTGGGTCGACATTGGCCTGGTTTGGCAGCTATCTGCCTGGGTGGATGTAGCAGGTTTGCATTGGCGCTTCGTCCAGTCCGACATTTTCTTGTAACTGTGGAGTACCGGCAGGGTTTGAGAGGTTGCTCGTGCTGTGAACACATCTCTACCGCCTGTCTCGTCCTGGAAGTGCCGTCTCGCCGCTTCCTTGCTCTACAGTCACGCCGTTATTTCGCTTTGTTTCGTGGTGCAGCTCAAAACCTGCCCAAACAACTGTGAGCTCGCAACATGGTATGGACAAATTGCACCACTCATGCTGGTTAACTAAAACCGGGATAGTCGAGTAAGCGAGTTCACTCCCTGGGCCATGGCAAGATCTGTTCAGCGCGGGCTATTCCAACCTCCAAGTGCATAGTCACCGATCGATCCATGCGATGGTTGTTGACCTACAAAGAGCCAAGGTCTACGAGTACTACTATTGGATGCTGTCTACATGCAGTCAACAAAATCAAAGTACCTCAGTATGCCCAAGAATAGGGCATGTGCATCTATAGCATGACACAACAGGGGTTCTGGCGGCACCTGTCAAACAAGCAGTAGCGACTAGTGCCAGCTACCTATTGGAGGCTAGCCGCTACAGTCTGTCACTGGAGATAATTATTATGTTCACTGTTTAGACTGAGCACAATCAATGATGCCCAATCAATCTGCCCAATGTGTGTTCTGTTCCACCTAATTATAACGTCCCATCGCATCAACCCTACTACACGCACATGTCGTCACTCTAGCACGACTTGTGTTATTATTGTTTATTTTGATTCGCACGATAAGTAGAGTACAATAAACGTTAACTTGACCGAAGGTTAAAGGCGACTGCAGATAGAGGAACACATCGAGGTACAGGTACCGGCATCAATACAGTATCAGAGAGAAACAAACAAAAATGAGAGGTACGCAGAAAAAACTCTCGTAAGCCCAAGGGGAAGTGGTTGATGAGGGATGAATGCACTCTCCACGCTCATCTACACTGTTCGTGGAAATGCACACATACATACAATAATATACAACATAGCAATAGCATGCACAGAACCGAACAATTTCATGTTCACACATGCAAGCACAGACCTGAACATTAGTACCAAAAGCCGATACAGACAATATCCCCATACACACAGACGCACACACACACAATGTCCCATGTATGCGCCCGTGGCGAGAAAAGCACGCAAATCTACAAATGCACTGGATGTGAACCCACAGATTTTCTCTTATAGCAACGATAGCGGATCTGATTCTGAATGAAACGCACACACAACACAATCATTGAATGCTTATCCGCAGATGATGGCAGGTCCTGAAAGAACAGGCAGTGTTCCAGTGATGGGGAACAGAACTTCGAGTGGCGAGTGAGGTATACACACACACACACACACGTGCGTGCGCGGGCACACACAGCGGCTAAAGTATTCAGAAATAGAATCGACATCGTAGTATTCATTGGTTGGGGAATGGAAAGGAAAATAAAACATTGCTGTAGGTTATTGTTGTAAGGACACTGGGAGCACAACAGAAAGGTAAGCAACTTGCTTTGAAGCAAAGAAAGTTATTATTCCACGGATCTCAGAAGGAAGGAACGTTCCAGAATGCTGCACTGGCAACAGGCGGCCTGCATGTGCGCGGCCCCTGCAGTCGGTCCAGCTGCCGGCCTTGCAATACTGAAAAGAATGTGCAGTACAGCATGTCACATAGTATCGCAGCCTGGACAAATAGGCGCTGGGAAGTCCTAGTTATGTGCTCACCTACACCACGATGCACCAATCTTCTGAGCTACTTTGGCAACAACTTTGTCCACTTGAGACTCCCATGGGCTGAGCCAGTTGTTGAGGGCTGCATCAAGGTGGACGGCAATGACCGCTGATGGCAAGGTAATCCATGACACACAGTCACTAGGGCATCGTCAACATGGCGCTGAGGCTGGATCGATAAAATCAACCTTTAGGCTGCCGCGGGGTTGACAACGAGGCCGCTGTCTCGAAGCTAGTCAGTCAGCCTGGTCACCGCCATTGACGAACCAGTCGCCACCGCCAGCAGTGGCGGTAGGTTGTGACAAGTGTGGTGCAATATTGTCAGCAAATTCAGTACTCAGGATAATATGAGTGACAAAGGGAACGTTGTGTTTGATAATATTGAAGTGAACAGGGATGATCACAAACCCTGCGCGTACTCCACCGTGAGTTACAAGAAAATTCCGGACTGGACGACGAGCTAACACCAACCTGCTACATCCAACCAGGCAGATACTATTACGATAGCTGCCAAACCAGGTCAATGCCGACCTACTGCATAATGTCAATGTCAAACAGATCCTGCAGGAGAAGACTGGGGTGTTGGCGTCCAGTCACTGAGTGTACAGACACCAGTCACATTTCCTGCGTCTTTTGCAGCATACAGGATAGACTCATCACTGTAAAGTCCACTACTTCGTGATTTTTATTTGTAGAATACATGACAGGCGTATTCAGTGTGCCTCGCAGGACTGCGAGATGCTGCAGAAGACCAGGTTCGACCTTTCTGGACCGCCATTCACCGACGGTGGGCTACACGATGCTGGAGGAACTAGATTCCAGTGAAAACCCAAGATTCCTTTGCTCCTGGACGCTCCGATGTGTTGTGATATCTGCCAGGTGCGCAGTAACTAGTATTTTCATCGCTATAGCGAGGACGACGCCGATCGGCAAACTCTCGCTCACAGCCATCACCAGCCTCTCAAAACCATCACTTGGCATCCCCCAGAGGTATAGGAGAAAGCCAAAACAGCTCTCAACAAACAAAAGCTAAGGACGATGGAAAGAGAGCATGTCAAAAAGAAGACGAACAGTATGAAGTTCAAATGGTTTTGAACACTCGTACCACCAACTATACCACTTTCAATAAATCGTGACGCCATTTTGTTTTAACATGAATATCGCGGATTTGGGCCTAGCTTTTTCATGATTTTCACGTGAAAAATTGTTTTGAAGCGCACGTGCACTGTAGAAAACTTATCTCCCGCGTTTTCATCGGGCTTGCAGCAGGTTTGAAGATAAACAACCTGGCAGAACCACTATATTGTGCCAAACCCCAAAATATTATAGGTAGGCCCAAACTTCTGGCCAACACTGTACATGTATACAACTGCTCCGGCTCAATCTGCCTGGAGGGACTCTGAAAGGAATATGACTGCTCCGGCTCAATCTGCCAGGAGGGACTCTGTTCTGTTCTGAAGAAATGAGTAAAGCATGGCAGCTTTTATAGGGCGAAAAGGAAGGAGATCATCATGAGCCATGAGTCATGAAAAAGGGCAGAAGTCTGTTGTGTTAGTCCAAACAGAACTTGGGAAGGCATAGCAACCGTGTGTAAATGTATAAGGATGAAAGAAGCAAACGGAACTTTGGGGGAGAACAGAGGCCAGGGAGGGCATTAGCAAATGGCTGCAAGCAGGATCTAGAAAGGGTCATGACTGTCCGCATGACCTCAGTCAGGGTCAGGGAGGTACAGTACAACATGTGGGTGTTAGTTCTACATGTACATACAGGTGTGATGATCTAAACTAGCAAAGATATGTAGTATGCAATCCAGCAAGCGCAAGAGAAACACAAGTGGTGAGAAGTGATATACATGTAATAATATTAGCTTTGCAGGCTTGTCAGCTAAGCTTAGGAGTGACAAGAGTCATGCAGTGCGTGTACGTGTACATGTGACATGATTAGAGGTAAAAATAAATGTAGATGTAGTAGTCAGCTACAGTTCAGTACTAGCAAGGCAGGGATACTACACTAACTAGTTACTAGTACTTGAGCCCTCATACACACATTATCAGCGAAACGTGGATGAAAACTAAAACTAAACTTGACGGCTGTCACAAATGTGTAGCGGCCATTACGTCGGAAAACATGCAACTAGAACAAAACTTTACCGCTGCCATCAATTTTGTAGCGCCATTGCTACCAATGTAAAACAGGTGGGGTCGAATCTGACAAAGTTGACTTTAAGTTTAACCACCGCTGCCACCAATTTTGTAGCGGGCCTGGAGGCAAAACAACCTAACAACTCGAAACTAACTTTATTAACAACTCTCTCACTCTCTCTAGAACGGCAAAACTGCCTCTAGCAGTAAAACTCTGATCTCACTGTGAAAGATAAAATAAACGCAATTTATGGAAAATAATCACAAACAGCAACGTAATAATATACCATGTATACTGTCATGCGACCGTTGTATGGTAGAACGAACGTCGTATTGAACAGTACGCTGAGCGTATACCTATACGCAAATGTTGAGCTTGTAGCGTGACCAACGCTACACAGCCTGTTTGAAGTGATTTTCTTACACACACACACACACCATGCACACGGGGGCGCGCGCGTACATACACAGTCCAGACTTTGCAGCTACATGTAGCTACGACTCACGTGATTCATTCATTCGCCGGCGCTCCGCGATCCGCGCCATGCTTCACAGCCTTCAGTCTGTCTTCCGGACAGCACATGCACGTAGATATCTACATAGTCATGTGTAGTCACGATGTGTGACTGCAGATTATCATGATTATTGTATGCTACTCTGCACGACTGCAGTCTGCAGAGTGCAGACTGCAGACAGCAAGCCAAGACTGCAAGACTACACGTAGTGCATCACTCATATTCAGTCATAATCTCCAGATACCAGCTGCACTCGTTTGAACTGAGACTGTTTCAGTGAGGTGTTGCACTGACTGACTGCACTGTTTGTGTTCGGCATTATCATGATTATTATGCATACTGTACTACTACTACTGGTACTAGTCTACTTGTTGCGCCTGCACGTGGTGGCAGTCATCGCTCTGTAGCTGTACGGGTTCAAGTAAGTGCATGCTGCCAGAAAAAAAGTGAAAACGATGTAACACTACATTAGTTAGAAAGTAAGAATGTAAATAATTCAGTTAGAAGTCCGGCCTCTTAGCCTTGTGACTTAGTCATGTCGTGTCGACATGCTCGCTACAACAAATGAATGTAGCGGCGAAGATGCAACGGTCAAGTGGATGAAACACCACGAGGTGACATCGGTGAGCGACAATCAGCGCGACTCCTTGACCCGCTGGAGGACTAGCTACTTCAGATCGCAAGAGACTCCGCGATCCGGTGTATCGTATATGCATAGGACATAGCGGAAAGGCCCAGCACCGAACGGCGAAGCATGTTGTACCCAAGTCGCAGAATCCTGATTGCTGGAGCGGCGGGACTATGCTTGATTTGGGCATGCTTGCAATTCGTTGTGCCAGAGGTAAAACGAATGATCACTTGTGTTACCTAGGGCTGAAACGATCGTGCATTTTCACCTACAGTATTGATTACTCGGTAATTATCTAGTTTAGGGTCCCAAATTATTTCGCACTTTCCCAATGTTCTGTGTACTTTCTGTGTACGTGTGTTTCGTTCCTCTCGAACTCTTTGCCGCCACACGAACTCGCAGAGGTAGGTTGGAAACAACTCGCGACTCGGCGAGACGTGCCGAAGTTGCGTTTGAGCTGGCGCTTCGCACGCATCCACATATTTTCGACATTGTTGGTATGGATGCTTCAATCATCCGGATCAACAAAGTGGTCGTCAGTTATGTCACATGAACACGCACACGCAAGTACTGCACCTACTTCAAAGTAGTACCACTCCGCGGCACTCGGCTACGTCTCAATGATTACAATTACCACAAAGTCAAAGGAAACAACTCTAAGGACACTAAACTAATGGTAACACTCAACCACGCTCTCAAGTACACAGAACACTGGGAAAGTGCGAAATAATTTGGGACCCTAAACTAGATGATTACCGATTACTCTTAGCTTTACCGATCGATTCATCGATTACATGAATCAACCGGTTAGCAAAATTATATTGCCAGGATTTTGTGCAAACATTACTCTGTTTCCACAACTTCACAAGCTATGTCTTCATACAGGTAGTGCCAAAAATCGTTAGTGAAAGGGTGGCTCCGAAACATGGCAGTTTTGAAGTCAATTGAACCTGAGAACATGAACCATACCCCTTGCAGCTGCATACTCACAGCGGAAACTGATTCAAAGTTTCCGTACTTTTCGGATTCTAAATCCCTGACGATTAATCAGACTATCTATAACGTAACGATTCGTTGATTGTTTTAAAGGAATTATCAATCGATTAAGCCCTACCTTTGTCCGATTATTGTAGCGACCGTCCGTAATAGGGCTTGAAAGTGATGATCTCAAAAACAAACAGGGAGTAGTAAGTTGACATCAGATTTCTATTTTGGATCCACTAAGGTGTGACTTTGCTATTGGAGAGGTTAAGTTTCACGTAAAATTCTTACATCCGTGAACTTTTACGTCAAAAATTCAAAAATCTCACGTAAAATTTGACGTGTTTTACGTGAGTTGACAGTCCCGCACGTAAGTTCGTGACGTGGGTTTTTGGAAGTTTCGCTTGGTTATCCCGATCGAATTTGTGTGAGTTTCCGTAGTTTTATCGAGTTTTACCGAGTTTGTTGGAAGATTTGATATTTGTGTGAACTAAACCCGAATCCTGCCAGGCAAAATTTCACGTCATGTCGCACGTGTAACTCAACCTCTAAAATGTTCACGTAACGTGAGATTTGCACCGCGTTTTGAAAAAAGGCAAAAAAACATGTAACTTAACCTCTCTATTGCCTCAGTATTTCGGTGCATAGCAACCCACTCATGTCCTATGCATGTGTGACTTTTACTTCGCCACCAGTTGTCACCCCGCCCCCAGTAGCCAAATTAGTCAGTTTCGCCGTCTACATTACCTTGCTGTGAGTAAGACCGCTTGAAATGTGCTTGGATCCATACAAAAACTGGATCCAGTTTTTGAATTTTTGAAATTGTTGCTATGCTGTGACGTAGCACTTTCAAGCCCTATTACCGAAACACGTACATGTACATGTAGATGTACATAGTGCAGTGCTGCTCAATGAAATCCCATGTGGCGAGTCAACTCGGTGCCCTGCGCCAGTGAGTTTTCCAGTGCAGATCTAGGGCTGCACAGGGTTCGGCACATACAGTCACACCTCGCAAAACCGCACACATCCATTTTCCAGAAAAAATCCCGCATATGCGAGGGAACCGGATAATCCGACACACATATTGTATGTATGCATGGCATATGCTGTAAATCGGTAACCAGCGATTTTCTTCCGGATCTCGGCATCCGGATAAACGAGGTCTGCCTGTACTTGACACATCGGCCCGGACTTCCATGAGTCTTTACTTGATTGTAGTTGCTGTAGAAGTTTATTTACCGTCGCGCCACAAACATGCGGTTTCCTCCTTTGATACATGTGGACGACAGAGGGAATGAGAGAGAGAGGGGTGGGGGGGGGGGGGGGAGCAGAAATACGGAGAGAGGAAGGGTAGGAAATAAATAAGTGAATCAACCTGAGGGCTACACTAAAGCAAAAACGGAATGGGAATATACTTGATTGGTTTAAGCACTGCAATGAAGAGACCGATGCAGCACCGTGGCAAAGTATTGTATTTTCCGGAGTATACTCCGCACTCTGAACACTCTAATTTCATACCAAAAAGGGAGTGCGGCTCACACTTAGATGACCAAATTGACAGTGATAAATAGGGAAGATGTCTGTATGTCGTGGCCAAAATGGGGGGGGGGGGGGGGGGGTGCGGCTTTTACTCCGGAAAAAAGGTATTGTGGTAAAAATACGCCTGACGAAACGGTAGAAAATGAACATATTACGAAGTCTAAAGGAAGTGTTGAGCGGGTTTTGTGGTGTCTAACGGCGACTGCTTGTATGATGGCCACACCGTTGCTTAGGGGTGTCGGTGAGAGTGGTCACTATCTGATTTTCCCCATATCATTCGCTCAAACTGATGAGCATCTGGGCTCCTCGATTGCAAGTTTATGCTTGAAGTACAGTGAAACTGGTCTAAGGCGACCGCACAAGCGACCTTCAAAATGCAGTCTCTGATGCCAGGTGGTCTCCTTATCCAGGGTCAGTTACCTGGAAATAGCATCTCTCGGTCCTGGTTTCAGTAGTCCTCTAGGACAGGTGGTCGGATAACCCGAGTGGTGGCCTTGACAGGTTTTGCTGTATGTGGATACAGTGGGTCCTGCATCCCGCAAGCCTGTCACCATGCAGTGTCTGCTCTAGGATTTCAAACCAACTGGATACACGTGTACCTAGCACAACTCTTGCAACCGCAGTAATACCTGTAACTACAGACCACCGTGACTAGCGACCAGCCTGCTACTACAGACCACTTCGCCAGGCACGGACGGTCTCACAATCATAATAATGGTTGTGCGTTGCAAACCTCTAACTAAGGACCACCTGCCACTGAAGACCGCTTTCTCTGGCCGCAAGGGGTGGTCGCTAGTCAAAGGTTCTACTGTACATGTAGGTCAGAGCTGGGTGCGTTCAGGTGCGACCACTGTACATCGGGGAGTCGTAAAATATTTTACAACTCCCCGAGGGACATTAATTTGCTTGTATGAACGTACCCGGAGCACTCTGTCGTCCGCGCACCTATACGCGCTCGCACTAGCTGCAGCCTGTCATATCAGAGTGCACCTGCCCCCCCCCCCCCCCCGCCTTCAAGTATAAAAACGCTTGGTAGTTTCACAGAATGCGGAATCTCAAAAGTCCTAAAGGGGAAGTCAAGCCTAAAATCAAATTTTCACCGGTTGTAGTCTTCGGGGTGCTGAGTCGAATGGTCTTGGTCCGAGGAAGCTGAGACGCTCCGTTCCTCCTTTATCCCCAATCGAAAAGTATCCTAAGCGATCTCTGCTTGGACGATTACCTTACCATAGTGTAGAGGAAGAGCATCGCTTACCTATCGATTTTTCGGCCGATCGTGGAATCGTACAAAAACCATCAAAATCGGCGCAAAACATTGCCTCGTGTGGAAGGTGTTGTTGAACGCGTTTCCAACAGCATTGTGTGGGAGTGTATAGGTCCGACCCAGTCGGCCGATTTCTTGTCGGGGTCGGTGTAGGAGCATCAGCCAAAATATTGGCCTAGTGTGAACCAGGCATAATGTTTCTCACAGTCACCAATTTATTCAACATCCCAAAACTCTTCCATCAGTGGTACTTTTGTCGTAGTATGTCGCATTCTTGTTTGGTTTCTTCACACTTGTGCCTTTCACCATTGCTTTATGTGTACGAGGGTATGGCTTTTACTAGTGGTGTGCGCGGGTAGTCGGGTACCCGTGCTACCCGTGAGGACCTCGGGTAGACGGGTACAGAATAGTACCAGAAAACCCGAAGTCGCAGATGACATCATGTACAGTGCATGTGTACAAATTCATGTATTACTATGTCTACCCGGTGTGCAAAGGAAGAGGTGCATTGTGGTGTTACCATGGAACCATAACCCAACTGGGTACCCGTGCTACCCTTGGAAAACTACCCGAACCCGAAACCCGAAGAAAATGCTACCCGACTCAGCACTAGGTTCTTCACACGTGCGCGTTTCACCATGGCTTCATGTGTACGAGGTTCTGGCTTTTACAGCGGTGGTTTGGCTACTCTACTTTGAGCTGTTTTGACCACACAGTCATACTGTGTATAATTCATGGTGCCGGGCTTGGGCAGTTTCTATTTTCCTGTATTCCACCTGATGAGAAGGCAATGAATGTACAGCCAACTTTGCGTATAGCGACACTCGGCGGGGTATCAGAAAAGTGTCCTTATACGCGAAGTGTCGTTATACCCGAATTCTCATTACAGTGAAACCTGTCTAAGACGACCGCTCGAGGGACCTTCGAAATGTGGTCTTTGTTACCAGGTGGTCTCCTTATCCAGGGTCATTTTACTGGAAAGAGCATCCCTTGATTCTGGTTCCAGGGGTCTTGTAGGACAGGTGGTCGCCTTATCCGAGTGGTCGCCTTATCCGAGTGGTCGCCTTATCCGAGTGATCGCCTTGACAGCTTTTACTGTAGATGTTTTACAGTGGGATGTGACTTTGCTGTGGGCATGGAAATTCTGTCGTTATTCGCGAATTGTCGTTGTATCCGCAGTCGTTATTAGCGAAGTTGACTGTACATATAATGAGACTTCGGGTATAAGGACATTTCGCGAATAAGGACACTTTTCTGATGCCCCGCCGAGTGTTGTTATACGCAAAGTTGACTGTAGCCAACAAGTATAATCCCTACTTCAATGACCACCTGTTAGACTTTTTATCATGCTCTTTGAATGCAGATAGTCTGTGAGAGCAGGCTGGGCTTTACACGGTCAACACATTTGGTGCCTCTAAAGATAGTGTTGCAGACCAAATGGTCAGTCGCGTGTCAAAGTTTCACCTTATGTTTTGCGTAAACAATTATGTGTTTCCTCTGCAGTTGTCTCATTGGCTAGCCTCTGAAGCTGTAGATGTCGGTGGCTACCTGCCGGCACGTTCTCCGCACACTGTTCCCGAGCTGGTGGATGTCAAAGGTAGTGGGGGGGGGGGGGGGGGTATTAGCTGGTGGATGTCAAAGGTAGGGGGGGAGGGGTATTAGCTGGTGGATGTCAAAGGTAGGGGGGGGGGGGGGTATTAGCTGGTGGATGTCAAAGGTAGGGGGGGGGGTGTGTTAGCAAGAGTACATAAGCCCCAAGAGTGTGCCACTCCAGCTATGGGGTCTGCGACGGCAGAACTTCACATCACGTGACGAACCCGTACACATTATTTGTACTCTGTGCATGATAGATACAGGGTTGTACGCAACCCAGCTTTGGGTACAACTCTCTTGCGGTCACTTTGCACTGTTTGCCTGTGTAACCTTTTGAACCATGCAACGTGATGTGAAGTTCTGCCGTCGAAGCACTGCATAGAGGTTGTGCAGGCAGTTGCACACTCTTGGAGGTTATGTACTCTTGGTATTAGCTGGTGCATGTCAAAGGTAGGGATATTTGTATCACACTGGTAGCACTTCTTGGCAGATATAGTGCCGGATAATGCCAGAGTAAAACGTCTCTCTTCTCCGGTTTGTTTTGGTGCTGTACCGGCACAGTGTTGCTGACACCATGTGGTCAGTGTAGTGCTGGCAGACTCACAAGCATAGCTACGACTGTCCTTGTAGCGACCACCTTTTATGTCCATTATTTACTTTTTGATTCCAGCTCTCCTGGTATCTAACTTTCCATTCTCTCCTTGCTACTGTTTCACTCTCATCCATTCTGGTGGTTCTGTGCTCTCAAGAAAAATTATGTGTTTGTGTGTGTGTGTGTGTGTGTGTGTGTGTGTGTGTGTGTGTGTGTATGTGTGTGTGTGTATGTGTGTGTGTGTGTAAATATGTCTTTGTGTGTGTGTCTTTGTGTATGTGTGTGTGTGTGTGTGTGTGTGTGTGTGTGTGTGTGTGTGTGTGTGTGTGTGTGTGTGTGTGAGAGAGTGAGTGTGTGTGCATGTGTGTGCGAGTGTGTTTGTGTATGTGTGTGCACGCGTGTGTGTGTGTTGCCGTGGTCCAGATGTTGGCAAGCCACGTCACGTTCTCATTCTGATCAAGACAGGTACAGACAGGAAATACAAGTGGAGACGAAACAACCTTCGCAATAGCTGGTTTTACCGGTGAGTGGAATGGAATGCCGTCGCGCCTGGTCCACGCTAGGCCGATCTTTCGGTTGATTCTCCGACACAGATTCCGACATGAAATCAGCGGACTGGTTTAGACTATCTGTACGCACACAAATTTGTCGGAAACGTGTGCACCAGGCACTATAGAATGCCATACACTGCAGTACACTGCTGCCAACTTTCTGTACTTTTCCGTATTTGTAAAGAAAACCACTCTTTCGGCTGCACTGCAGAATTTGCGCAAAAAAATGGCACGAAAATTGAAAAAAATATCGACTAGCTGAGTAGGAGCATGGCCAGTGCAAGCTGAATGATGAAGTTCCTTGCAACATCAGTGGACATAGAAGTGTGGCGGACCTGACTGGTCATTAGCGCGTATACTCACTGTAGTCCACCTCCACTGTGAAAATGGACGAGAAGTGCTCACGGCTGCAAGGTGAGCGTCCCATGGCCGCTTGACATCTCGGCGGATTTCAATGTTCACTGCAGTACTTTGCTAGCGCCAAAACACTGCAAGATGCGCAAAGCAGTAGTCCGAGTACGCAAACTAGAGGACGATTGGCAGTGCTGGCAGTGCGCATACAGATAGAATATACATGTCCACGTCATGTTTTCAGTAGGGGTGAAACGAGTATATCGAATACTCGAGCGCTCGCTCGAAAATTTGAAACGAGCGAGTACTCGTTTCGCAAAATACTCGAAGTATCCTTTGTACAGTGTATTGTATGCATGTACATCAAGCATTTCTCTTACTCTGACTGGTACTGATAGTCCATGCAAGCGCGAAATTACTGCTTGTCCCTACTTACCAGCAAAAGACAGTAGTTCAGACTATGTCCTGCACCATGCTGCATGCAAGACTACACGTGCAGCGGGTGTACTACGTTCGGTGGTGCGAGAGTGTGTGCAGTGCATTGTTTTATTTTGTCAGTAAAATACTCGTACTCGCTCGAATACTCGCTCGTTTTTTCAAAGAGTACTCGAGTCCCCAATTTTGGCACTCGTTTCACCCCTAGTTTTCAGCGGCATTGGAAACTGTCAGTTTGCCACTGGAGACCTATTGAGCTTAGTTGCATACGTTTGGCACACTGTATAAGCAGAAATATTCGTCTGGAATTTAATTTCGTCTTTTCCATTTTTTTTCATCCAAGGAGGTTTTGGACTAAATAAAATGCCAGACTAATTTTGTCCAGCTTTTCAATACCCATTTAGGAGCTGCATCTGCGCCTTGATCCTTGAAGGGTGGTGGCGTTCCTACGGATGCGGAAAACTCGGTTTCCAGCCGAGTCTCACGCGAACCGTGGCAATTTTTTCAATACACTCTTATGATCCCTGGACAAAATTTTCAACCGGAAGAACTCCCTTTTTTTGGAGTTGGACGAAATTATTGACCGGCGAGATTTTCTGCCTCTACAGTACTACTGACTATTTACGGCACCTTTGCATTTTTTTATCTGATACGAAACTCGCACAAAGAAGTGTAAAAAAAAACAAGCTAAAAAAACAGAAAAACGGCACCTTTGCATACAGTAAAATCAGTTTTTGCAGGACTCTGTATCAAGCAGAATCCTGTATTGATCGGACAAGTTTTCATGCACCAACGTGCTGTGGATCAAACGTGCATCCCTAGGTCAAGCGAAAACTGTCATATCAAGACATTCTCCGCTGCCCGAAGGGTGTCCGGTTAGTGCATGCACCTTGTACTGTACTGTGTAAACATAAATACTTGTTGGCGCTTCAATTTCATCCTCTTTGGTGGTCCAAGGCGCAAAGCCCGGACTACAGTCCAAGTAATGACCTTGGGTACAATAACATCTCTCAAGTAACGACACAATCGTTAGGCCTGGTGATCATTTGACTGCATGCTGTCAACCTCGCGAACAACGACAACTTATTACTTACGAGTAATGGCGCTTTTCTCATGCGCGATCGAGAGTCGGTATTTCGGAGGTTGACTGTACATCAATTCATTGACAAAAGCTGGACAAACACGAGTGTAGCATGTTGTCAATCCCTTTCGATCTTGTATGTATAAACTTTGGCCGAATAAATTTACTGTGGGTTTTAGTAGTTGGATTGACCTGCTCACAGACAAAAGCTTCTGCTTGGATTGTACAAGTGGAATATTAATTTTTATCAGTGAAGCATTTTAGGAAGGTATGACCCCCCCCCCCCCCCCCAACCATCCATTGAATGTTCTAGATTTTCACACAGGTGGCGAATGGTCGGCACAGCTTCTTCCTCTTCTGTTGATTATGTGTACAGTCGTCCCTCTCTAATCCGGCACTTGTTTATCCCGAACCCTTGCCAACCGGCGCACTTTCTGACGAAACCGATTTTTTCGTTCAATTCCTACATCTTAATCCGGCACTTGAATTCCGCCTCCTGCAGTGACTTTTTGAAACGAATCGCTCAAACTGCACGTAGTTTGATTTCATAATCCGGCAGTCGTAAATCGCGTACCGTACAGGTCTCCTTGCCATGCCAGGTTAGGCTTGTCAAGGAGACAACGGCAGTCAACCATACTTTCTTATTTTAGCAAGGAGTAGTGTCCTGCCAATTTTCATGCGTGTGTGTGTGCGTGTGTGTGCAAGAGTACATGTGAACATGTTCTCTGTTTTACTTTATCACTTTATCACTGTGTATATTCCCGGAGAACAATTGAGAATATAAAGCCGTGCACCAAATACTTGGGTCGACACGGAAAAACCCTGCGTTTTGACGTACATATGATACATGCATGCAATTGGGTAGGGCCGGGTCAGAGGGCAGGATTTCTTAATCCAGCACCCTCGTTAATCCAGCAGAAAACGCCGTAGCAAAAGGTGTCGGATTAGAGAGGGACGACTGTATATGGATTGGCAGCAATATCCGTTGTCGTCTTTGTTTTCTGGTCTACCTTTCTGGTTAGGTGTCGTTCCGGTGAATACTACCCGCCAAACGTGAAGATTCCAAAGCACCTCAACAACATCAAGCTCTCGTGTTACTTCATCATCGGCGTCAAGCACATCTCGAAGATCAACAACGAGAGTCTGGAAGATGAAAACAGGAAATATGGCGATATCATCTATGCGCGTGATATTAACGACCTGTACTCAACGTTTCTAATGAAAACCGTCTGGATGCTGAACTGGGCAACGCTCGCGTCGACGCGCCGATTCGTCAAACGCAAGCAGCCGGACGTGCCGGTAACGCACGTTATGCTGGCCGACGATGACACGTTTGTTACGCTGTCGCTGTTCATCAACTGGGCGTCGCGGCTGCCGCTCGCGCGTGTGTTCACCGGCCACGCTCACCGGTTCAGCCGCCCTCTGTACTGCCACGAAAACGCGCACCCGAACTGCATCGACAGCAAAGCGTACCCGTCGCTGCGCCGCTACCCGCGCTACCCGAGCGGCTTTGCCTACCTGCTCTCCTTGGACGTGTGCGTGGGCACTGTGCAGTCGGCCATCCGACACTCCGCCATGGACTGTCCGGTGCCCGGGAACAACGAGGACGCGCTCATGGGCCTGCTGACGGCCGAGGCGGGCTTCACGCTCATACACGAGCCGTCGTTCCACCACTTCGCACAGCAGGTTTTCCCGTGCCCAGGCGATGGCGTACCGCTGATGGTGATCGGCAACGCACCGCAGGGAATTCTCAACATTGTGGCGCGCAACGAGCGCCTGGGCGAGAGGAATCTCTGCAGGGATGTTGTTCGCTAGAGTGCAGCAAACACTGTTCAACTCGGCGTCCGCTGGGACCATAGTTTGAGCTGACTATCCCCAGCAAAGCCAGGAATTTCCCAGTCTGCGTGCATGCACATATTTGTGTACATAAGAGGAAGTGACATAGTATGAACATACATGTATGGACTGCTGGCTCTTGAGATAAATTCATAGTATTTTTTTGCCTTTTCTGCCGGTATTATGTGCATGAATCCGCATCTTGCAGCGCACTTTATAACAGTACTTATTGGATTCTCCAGATTACAGTATTTTCAAGAAAGCAGAAGCCATTGAATAGGGCTTGAAAGTGCTACGTCACAGCATAGCAACAATTTCAAAAATTCAAAAACTGGATCCACTTGGATCCAGTTTTTGTATGGATCCAAGCACATTTCAAGCGGTCTTACCCACAGCATGGTGATGTAGCCAGTGAAACTGACTGATTTGGCTACTGGGGGCGGGGTTACAACTGGTGGCGAAATAAAAGTCACACCTGCATGCGACATGAGTGGGTTGCTATGCACCCACATACTTAGGCAATAGCAAAGTCACACCATAGTGGATCCAAAAATAGAAATCTGATCTCAACTTACTACTCCCTGCCCGTTTTGACGTCATCACTTTCAAGCCCTATTGATCCAGTCTCGAGCGGTGGTCCTGTAGTGATCACACAATAATAATAAGGCCAAACTAAAGAAGGTGTGTGGTTCGACTAACATGGACATTTTTTTTACGGGCGGGCGGGCGGATATTTTTTTTAAATATAATTTTTAGTACATGTAAATACACTGTACTGCCTTTAGACACCCAGTACATCGGCATTATTACGCAGTGTTATGCCATACATGTTGTATAAAGGGATCACTGGCTAATACTTTGAAACATTGTGCAGCTCTGGAACGAGAAGAGAATAACTTCAAGCGGTGACTCTGACTGTCCAAATCATCAAGCAAATGAAGAACGATGCGAGTTGAAAGTAAGTTCGGGAACTACTTCGAAGTACAAATTGTACAATGTACCGGTACATGTATTGCTAGTTTGGTGTCGGCGTGCACGAATACATGGGCTTTTGCCATCGACGCTTCCTGTGCTTGCACACATGGAGCAGCAACTTACCGGTACAGGTGAAATATCGTTCCCAATACACGAGGAAAGTGCAATCTCGTCTGTCCTTCATCCCAAAACAGAAGGCCGTCCTTAATCTGGAACGAGGCAATCACTCTCAACCGGACGGTCACTTCAAAATAAGTCTCGCCAGTCTGCCGGTGGTCGTATCGATCGAGTAGACTCTACTACCAGCACAAGGCAGCAGTCGTACCACTCACTGCACTGCACTGCACTGCAGTACTACAAGTACAACTACAAGTCAAGTCCAAAAGGAGCCGCCTGCGTCCGCAGACTCACACTGCACAGCACGTAGACGTGGACGTGTTCAGTCCACGTACGTCAGTCACACGACAGCCCGCCGAAAAAAAGTAACGGTCGGGCTGAAAAATGTATGGTCGGTCGGGTGAGTCGAACCAAAGACCTTCTTCAGTGTGGCCTAACAACACTAACAGCTTGCGTATATAAACGTACTCAGACGGTGAGCCAAGGAATATATGAAATGGAACGAGGAAAACGACGGGGCAAAAATTATGCGTTAGTTACGCAGGCTGGTGGCACCTTGTGCACGTCTGACTGTTCAAAATCCGGTTCAGTTGGTGGACTCTATACAAACGCATAACTTGTGCCCGGCCGTTTTCCTTGTTTCTTACTCAGATTTGAGGTCTACGCACCTGTAGGTGAAATACTTCCATTCGTGTCTCTGTTTAGCGAAGACGAAGGCCTCACCACTCGTAGACATTGCAGTACCAATAGCCATTATGTCCACTTGTGTGTTGGAAGCTAGAGGTTACACCTATTTTTAAGACTGTACTCTGGGGCCTAGCAAAATGGCAATCCTTGCAGTCGGCTATTGCGTTTAGTAAGACTAGTTCAGTAGTTGCTTGTACAGCTACTAGTCTGTATCGGCTATAGCGTACCCTTTTGATTTCCGTGATTTTATCACTATAACCGATGGATCACTATTATGCGATACGATTGATTTTTTTCTTTTTTCGATCGACACATGAAAGGCAAGGAAATACTTCCAGCATGGCGTTTTGACAAATGAGCATGCTGCATAGTTGACAGTGCCCGCATTTCCTTAAAAAATTCTGTTATGTACATTTAGAATCAACTCGTAAAAGCTCCAAGTCAATCTCCCATTGTCACAAACCTCGTTTATTCAACATAATCATATCCTATCCAATAAAAACAGTTCATAAAAACAGTTCATAAAAACAGCTTTTTAGGATCGGACCCAGTCCGCATAACCAAGAGAGCTAGCTCCCTTGGCTGCTGTTGGAATATGCAAGAATGGGCCTTCCAGATAAGGTCTAACAAGGAGAAATGGCAATAGTTATGAAATGAACACCGGTAACCATGGAGACAGACCACACTCTCATTATAGATACTGGTTATAAATAGACCGAATAAGGAAAATGATCTGATAGCCTATGAAGAGTAAAAGAAATTGAACCAATGACAACAAATACTCGTCCAGCACACGAGTTGTCATAGCAACACAAATAACAGCTGTCCACTAATTTTGTTGTTGGAGATTGAGTAGGAGTTTTTACTGGTTGATTCTAAATACATGTGTAGTATCCCTGCCCGACCAATACGGAAGCAGTACGGAACTAATACGGAGCTTTGCCTAGTGTATCTCCGTATGTAAGCGGCTGCGCATTTCTGTTTTGATGAAGATTAGATTAGATTAGATTAGATAGCAATGAAAGCTAACTCGAGGAAGATTAGATTTTGATAATAACGAGCTATTCAACCTCCAGGTGTGCACCGGAGAGAAAGTCAGTTATTTTGCCGTTTCTTCTTTCACTAATAATAATATCTCAGGGAATACAATAAATGCTCCGGCCTTGGGTTTATGACCAATAAACCCTCGGCCTCCTCATTTATTGTATACGTATAATAATTATTATTTATCACTATAAAAATAAGCAACGTTAAGAAAGTAAAAATATAGGGCCTTTGATATTATTGCTACATGTATTTTTAAAGTTATCACTGTAGCCGATAATAATATGTACACGTATAAAATACAACCCAACAGTACAAGCGTACTAGTGGGATGTATTATACTTATGCTGACCTTCATACATTCTCAATCTCTAAAAAGGAGTTTGTATGGTGGTGGTCTATATGGGGTTTGTTTGAGGTTTATATGCCCAGTATAAACCGCCAGCATGATGGGCAAGTTGACTGGAAGTTTGTATGAAAGGTCAGCATAAAGTGTGTTATGCATGTTTTGATTCGTTGTTGCCATCATAATATCCGATATATCATTACATCCGATAAAATTTAATGGCGATAATATTGGTTTTAGTGATATTTTTACTGGATAAAATACGTTTTGCTTTTGATATTTCGCACCAATATCACATATTCTTATATCCGGTCACTATCCGATACAGACTGTATGGATGTTGGGAGCCAGTGACAGAGGCTACATCATGTACATGTACATCATGCATTCATGGTTTTTTTGACAATGCAACACAATTATTGTGGAGAGGTCACAACAATAAGAGACAAGATCAAAAGGAAAGCTTTACAATAATAATAATAATAATAAAACGTAGCCTGTAAAATGTAAAAAGTCACTGAGTACAGTTTAATTCAATATCCATGTCCAGTATTTATAATAAAATAATCTGCTGCAATTTATATGTTGGACTCAGTAGAGCGTCCAACCCCTATATGATGTCCAACCCCTATATAGAGTCCATTGGTCCAAAATCCACTGTACAGAGTCCAAACTTGGAATCAACTGTGAGCTCAAAGTTTCGATGGACATCACTCCCTGTATAGAGTCCAGCCAATTGGCTTCACCCCTATACATGTATAGAGTCCATTGGTCCAAAATCAACTGTACGGAGTCCAAACTTTGAAATCAACTATAAAGAGTCTATGTGGACAACACCCCCTGTATAAAGTCCAGCCAATTAGGCATCCCCTATCGAGTTCGAAAATAGACATAGGATCTGCTGTAAGCAGTGAATATTAACCAGAAAACGGCCTCTCCCTTTAATCCTTTACATCATTCACTTCTCAAGATAAAAAAATATGTATTGAGACGCCACTGCAGCCACTTCATTACATGAAAAACCCTACAAACACCATCCTCAAATCAAGTGGTCTCTTCGCAGATGCTGCAAATTGCAATATCTCAATCATGTAGTGTTGCCAAATTATTGTGCACGCACACACACACATGCACACACCCACACAACGCCAAGAAAATACCTAGAAAAAAAACCAAGAATCGAAAGGGAATGGAGAGCCCAGGATTAATTATTTGTTTTCAAATTATTGTGCGCGCGCGCGCACACACACACACACACACACAAACTTATACAACGCCAAGAAAACACCAAGAAAAGAGTAGAGACACAATACACACGCAACTCCAACAGCCATGCAAACGTCCACCCATTTACATGTAAAGTCAAGAGGGATAACAAATAATTATACGAAACGAATGCGTACGGGGACGGGTACACGCACGTTTACATACACGTAGTAGTGTAAGAGAGTAACATAGTGCAGTGGTCAGCATAATACTAGTACATGCTGAGAGTGCAATAGCAAGCTTCACCATTGCTCATGGCCATGCAAATGTTCAGCAGCACTCAGTTCCGCAAGCTTCTGAAGATCAGCACACCTGCAACAAATAGATAGCACAAGGATACGCTTATTACCGTAATGATGCATGGGAGCACACAACTACCAAGTTCTCAACGAATGTGATGCTCAATGAAAATCAATCCACTCAAAGACTTGTGAACAGGTGATGGTGGGGACAATAATCTATTAGTAATACGAGGAATAAGATCGTTTGTGCACACTCAAGACGCACAGACACACCAAAATACATGTAGTGTACACAGTGTTTCACTTCACTGCAACTAAATTGAAATGAGATGATTTGAACAATCTGTACAGCGTTGCTGTCAGTCTTCCCCAAGATGGAAATGCAATGATTTGTTGTCACGAGGCAGTTTCACTGACACAATGTCATGTTCGTGACATCAAAACGGTTACTTCAGGGAATACGAGTACTAGCTACGAGTATTAGCCTGAGAAGCTTTTTCTTGTCATTGGCATACAAGCAATCCTCCTAGTCCTACTACTACTAGTACACTGGCACTGCGTTTGTGGATCCCATTGTATTTGACATCATACTACAGGAAGA